GCAAGTAGAACCATTATATCATTTATATCATTTATATTCTTTCTTAATGGCAGATCTAATACCCAACAGAACAATAGGCAGAATTTCAGTCCATTTTAGAGTTGTTATGAGCCATTATTGAACTTTTAAGTTTCCTATGAAATCTTTCAATCAGTCTATTGGACTGAGGATGATAAGCAGTAGTTCTAATGCGATATGTAACCAAAATTTTCATTAAATCCTTAAATAAGTGAGATTCAAAATTTCGGCCTTGTTCAGTTGTTATTGATACCGGGCAGCCAAATCTTGCATCCAGTTATGCACTAACACTTTATAAGTCGTCTGAGCTCACACGTCAGCAGTAGGTAGACTTCTGGCCATCTGGTTAACCTGTCAATAATTGTCATGCAATAGCGGTTACCTTCAGATGGTGGAAGAGGACTATGAAATCAATATGGATATGTGCAAATCTTGCATCAGGCAAGGAAAAGGTACCCAACGGTGATTTCGTATGCCTATGAATTTTAGAACGTTGGCACTGTAGACATGATTGAACTGCAGTTTTAATAAATTTCTTCATATTAGGCCAAAAATAGCGCTTAGTAATTAATTTTGTTGAAGTTGAAATACCAGCATGAGAAAGACAGTGAATCTTCGGAAGTATTTTAGAGCGAAAAGATTCAGGTATGAACGGTCGAGGTATACCTGTGTCCATATTACAGTAAAGAGTAACATCTTCTAAAGGAAAGTAATGTTTCTCAAGTTTAAAAACTGGTGGAGATAAGGAATTTTAAATTTCAGAGTCCTGAATTTGTGCTTCGAATAACTTTTTATAATCAATGTATTGATTATCAGATACTGCATCTATTTCTACCCTAGATAAGGCATCAGCAACGATATTGTCACGACTTTGATGTATCGTATTGTCAGTGGAAAATTGGCCAATAAAATCAAGATAACGAAGTTGTCGTGGAGAACACTTTTCGGGCTTCTGCTTAATTTACAGCCCATCGTATTAAGGGCTTTTGGTCAGTGTAGATTGTAAAGGCCCTGTCTTCAAGCATGTGCCGAAACTTCCTTACAGACAAACAAATATCCCTTATAGACCCTTATAATCCCTTATATAATCCCTTATAGACAACAATAGTTCTCGATCATAAGTTAACTATTTCCTTTGACTTTTGCTCAGTTTAACGGATAGAAACGCAATGGGTTCCCAAATCTGAATTACGCAATTTGCATTAAGAGCTACCAACCACAACACGTCCGATGCATTCAGTACAAAGTTTCAAAGTCACACCTAGGAATCGGGTGTCTAGAGAAGGGTTGCCTCAGCAATTGCCCTTTTTGCATTTTCGAATACCTTCTCGGCTTTCGTCGTCCCATTCGAGAGGATATTCTTTTGTTTTACTCGGCTGTAAAGTTTTTTCCTTTTAATTAATGCGGCCTTCCAGTAACCTACTTCAAGGGAGCTAAAAACATGTGAAAGCTTTTGGGACAAACGTCTGTACAAATTAAATATGCTAAGAAATTTCCTAAACTGAGTTAATGTGTTTGGTTTAGGAAATTTTTGAATAGCTTCTACCCTCTTGGGTAAAAGTTTTAAACCCAGTTCAGATACATGAAAACCCAAAAATTCCAAAGAAGTTAAAAAAACTGCATTTAGATACATTAAGTCTTAACCCATAATTACTTAATCTTTCAAAAAGGGCTTCTAAGTGTATCAAATGCTCATTTTCGTCTTTTGACGCTATCAATATATCATTGACAAAAGCAAATACTTCTGGCAGCTCGTGAGTTGCTTCATCAATAAAGCGTTGAAAGGTTGCAGCTGCATCGCATAACCCAAATTGCATTCTTGTGCTCTCAGAAAGTACAAAAGGAGTGGCAATAGCCGTTTTATGGATATCAGAGGGATTAATTGGAATTTGGTGATATGCTTTAACCAAATCTAATCGAGAAAATACCTTTGTTCCATGTAACTCCGCTGCAAAATCGCAAATATTGGGAATATGATACTTATCCTTCACTGTCTGAGCGTGTTTAACCTCCGAAAATCTCCCACAGGTCTCAATTCGTTTGTGCCCTTTTTTGACACCATGTGAAGAGAAGAGGAGTAATTACTTTTGGAGGGTCGCATGTGACCTAAATTGATAATTTTATGAATTTCATGCTTAGCAATTTTTAATCTATCTGGAGCTAATCTCCTTGGCTTACATGAAACAGGAGGATTAATGGTTTCAATGAAATGCATAGTATGTATTATGCTTAACAGTCTCATTGAGATCAGGAAGCTTTGACAGCGAAGGATAGTTAGACAGTAATTTATCATAAATACAATTTGTAATAATTGTTTTAACAGAATATAAATGTGTGTTAATTACACTGCAGTTAATTTTTATGTTAATTACACTGCAGTTAATTTTTAAATTTTAATTTTTAAATCAACAAGTTTTTTGTTCCTTAAATCAGGTAATAAATCAAAATAATGCAAGAAATCAGATCCAATAATATTTGTTGACACTTTACACTTAAATATGCTTCACTTAAATATATAAAAATAAAAAGTAAAATTAAAATTACAACGAAGTCCAAGGTCAGTACTTAACGCTTTTTGTCCATAAACTGAAATAGGGGTACCATTTGCTGCAGAAAACATCATAATAGGTGTTTGACGTGCTTCCTGTCTGGTTGCTGAAAGAAGACTGACGTCTCTGAGTCAGTGTCGCACAAAAATATTCTATTCGATTTCCTGTCTCTAGTGAAAAGGCGACGAGACTCAGAGGGTAAAGCGCATGTCTCCGCTACACTTTCCCTGGTACGTTTCCCTGGAATGTACATGGTGGAACACACTTTTTAGCTTTGTCACCAAATTTATGATGATACCAACAATAGGAACAGTACAAAGCAGCTTTAGCTGAAGGGCTTTGCTTCCTGTTATAGCGATTTTTGGAAATACTGCGTGATCGTCGTAGAGACAAAACCTTGCTATGCAATTCGCACACTTCCCCCAGCAGGGAATCCAATTTAGAATTCTCAGAGACATTGAAAGATACACGAGAAGAAACTTCGCTTACCTGAGCGGTGTAACTTCCAATATTCTATCCGCGATACTGGCAGCTTTCGATAAATCGAGCGGCTCAACCGACGCTAGAATAGACTGAACATTTGGCGGCATCTGGTGCATGAATAATTCCAGGAACAAAGAGTCAGGCAAATTATATTTTTCAGCCCGCCTAGTCATTACACGAAGAAGTTCTGATGGACTTCCTATCTCCAAGTTGCTTGGCGGTGAGTAATTTCCGTATTTCACTCGTACTGCTTTCTCTACAGCGTTTCGTAATAGCAGCTTTGAGGTCTTCGTAAGAAGCATCTGTACGTTCCTGGAGAATGATATCTCTAACCAACGCAGCAATTTCCGGCGGCAAATGAGCGATGCAGTAGTTAAATTTGGTCTTCGAATCCGTAATCGGAAGGATGTGTGTTCAAATCACATCCGGGTCACTATTTTATAATGGCGGGGTGGTTATGTGCTTGGTGTATATCCTTGAATTGACATGACTTCTTTTCTTTACACATAACTTTTATTCACACACACCATAACTTTAAACACAACTGAAATAACAGAACGAATAACAAAAACCACTAAACTAAAATTCAAACATCCTATGCTCCAGCTAAGGGTGAAGTGAGTGAGTTCACTGCTGCGCTAGCAGTTTTTACATAAACCACATGACGTGGATTGGCTGAGCACGCAGTCGAACGTCAGATTGCCACAAGCTTTTGCCAGTCTTATCATATAACCAATGAGTGCCTACTCGCACTTGCTGATGTATTATGCAGTCAATTAACCACCTTCGCGTGGAAAACTACAGTTCTTTATTCTACACCTACACGTGTAGACATCACATTAACGAGCAAGGAAGTTAGTACAATACCGTAAGACCTATTTGGTCTAAATAATTTTTTTTGCGCAATATGCTGCAAAATTAAAGATAAGAGAAATTGTAGAAAGCTCGCCAAAAAGTTACCAGGAGCTGTGGCTCCAAGAAAAGTTCAACACATTAAAAAAAAACAATGTCATTGAAGGGTGAAAAATTATGCTACACGTTAAATTAAACACAGTAAAATACTAATCTTTGGAAACTAGTAACGGCAAAAAATACAGTAATACCAATCGATGTGACAAGTGTAAAGTTAAACCTAGAAAAACCAATCGATGGTACAAGTAAAACATAAAACAACATAAACAATATAAAAAATACAAAGCGGAAAAGGGTAATTAGCTTAACCCGAAGTTCACCTGGCTTTTCAAGGAAATTTCTAGTGAACGTCGAATTAAGCTAACTCATTCGCGTTTGCCAAAACAGACAATTGAAACTTTTGCGTTACAAATTTTAATTAAATAGACGCATTGTTTAGAAAATTTATTAGTCTCAACTCTCTGTTCCAATTTCCCGACGCGGTTGCACAAATGACACATTAAGGTGTTAAAAGATGTAAAAACAATTCCGATTTACAAGAATAAGAAAAAATAAAAATAAATAGCTGTTGCTATTAGTCCAAAATACCCATAACTTACGGGCTGGACCTCTAGCTTAAATATTTACCCTTTATAAATTTTAGAAAACATAAATTAAATTTAAACGAAAACAAACACAGTGGGTCTTGCTAAGACCAAGAAAAAAAATTTTTGGTAAAAGAAACTGAAAAAACAGACCTGTGGTTATGTAGAGTTCTCCATCATGTAACAAGTTGAAAAGGGGTTGCAATTCCCCTCAGTGTCCTTTATCGCCATCCCACTCGTCGTGTGACGTAAGTAGGGGGGAAACAATATCACTGGGCAATAACCAATGCGGTTAGACTGTCCGTTGGCTGTAACTCGTCCCTAATTTTCAAAGGGGGGGAGTCGGGAGACTCAGAAAGACGTAGAAAGATTTCAAAATGGCGTCAGTCAAGTTGTTTGAAGAAAAAACTGCTTCTAAAAGTGAAAATGGCTAATTCAGCTAGAATTACTCAACATGGCCACAAAAGTAAGAGTAAAAAGGGAAAAACAGTCATTTGTTAATAAAAGTTGTAATTCTTCAAGGGGCGATCAAGCTACAATGAAAAACGAAAAGGCCCGATTTGTTAATAAAAGTAGTAATTTTGGCCATTAAAGTAATTTAAAACTACAGTCAAAAGTCTTTAATCCGGACTCGTCGGGACTTCGGCGATTCCGGATTATCGATTTCAGTTTAAATCTGGTAAGATGGCATGCAGAAATTATAAAATTAAAAATATGGAACCGTAATTTATAAAATAATGAGCAATTTTGATCTAAAACGTATCAAAATTTACAAAAAAAAAAAAAAAAAAAAAAAAAAAGCTTAATATTTATTTGTTTACTTTATTAAACAGTTCTTTCAACGCGCGCATGTGTTAAGCATACCTTACGTATAGCCGAAATTAGAAAATTGCAACCAGAAAACTATTTGATTTGTATTCGTGATATTTATAATGACGAGAAATTTGATTTAAATCATATCAAAGACGGAGTACGTCGAGATTAAATACTACATTTAGTAAGGAATTATAAGCCGAATAAAATAAAAACATCTGCCGTGAAGATAATGATAGTGCTGACAGATCAACTTCCAGTTCATTGCTCGCCACGGCGTACCCAAGCCCCCGCGCAGAGCAGCGTGAAATTGATAAACAGATTTCGGAACGGTTAGATAAACAAAGGATATGCCTTTATCCATTTTTTGTAGCAATTCGTTTTTTGTTTGATGGACATCGAAACATACTTTCGTTTTCTAGATCCTTTGGCAGCTCCAGCATCGGAAATTCTATTTGACATAATCGAAAGTCCAAGCTTACTTTTATAAAATTGCTCTTACAGTCTGCAAAAAATAATAAGCCGGATCCAATTCGAAGATTAAGGAACAACGCAATCATCAACATTAACCGAAATAGATAATTAGATAATTTTAGCTTATACTGTCCGTTATACATTAAACGCGCACGCGAAAACGTATTCTGCGCTTGCGCACACGCAAAAGCGCAGTTGTAAATGTCTTGCGCGCACGCGTAAAACGCCTAGGCGCAGGCGTCAACGCGGCGCATGCGCAGAAAGATTTTAGCTTTGAGGTCCGGATTATAGATCATTCCGAATTATGGATGTCCGAATTAACGACTTTTGACTGTATTTAAACAACAGTACTAAAAGTATTGTGCCAAAATTTTTTGGAGGAAACAAAATGTAGTGACAAGAATTATCAGTACTTTATACCGTCCCATTGGGCTTTAAGCATAAAATATCACTATCTAACTCAAAAAATCTAAAAATTGGTAAGGCTAATGGCAGCTTTTTTTAATGTATTTTTAATTATTTTATGAAAAATTCGGTTATTTTTCAAGATAGTTACGAAGTATAGTATTTCTTCTTGAAGGTGTTTTGTAGTATTGCAGATTCTTTTTATTCTGAGTAGCTGTGAATAAATTGTGTTAAGGATGACTTAAAATACATTCCCAGAAATATAACAACGTATGTTGTTATACATATATATAATGTATATATAATTTATTTACTAAAGAAATATTGTTTATATTATCTCCTAAGATTAATGTTAGTAGAAATATCTAAAAAGAGTGAATCCATAGTTAGTAAGTTTAATTCCGAAAATTTTTTTAAAATAACTTGAATGTAAATTGCTTAACGGGGATATATATAATGTCATTCTATTTCTCCATATTGTAGCTCATACCTTTCCTAAAAATGTGTATGTGATTTTAAGTAATTCTTTTAATTTATCTTACCAAATTAAGTACCTTTATAAAGAGATAAAAAAAGTTAATTCTATTATATTTTGAAGTTATGTTATAAAATTTCTCCATATCTGTTATTTTACAGATATTTTTAGTTTTTTTTTATTTATCAGGTCTCAATCTAATTTTTTGATGCATCTAAATTTTTTTTTTTAGATTTCATGAACATATTTCCTTTAATCTACAAACATTCATGGCTTTTTGAACAAAGAAACATCTTGCAAATGTTTCAGTCTCTTATTTAAAGAGACACTAAACAAAAATTGTGCAGTTAAATGTATATATATTATATATACACACACTTAACTATGCACTTTGTACTGTATATATATACATATATATACACACACACACACACATATATAGTTACACAAAATTTTTATTTAAAAACATAATTATTCAAAGTATTTTCATACAATATGCTGCTGAAAATTGATCAGTAAAGACGAAAAGTAAGTAACTTCGAATCTATTATACACAAAGGTCCAAAAATGTGAAATTCAATACTAATAAATTTCAAAATATTCTATAAATAAGAATTAAAGAAATGGGAAATTAAACCTAAAAATTATATAAAAACTTGAAAATATGTAACAAAACCAGAAAAATAAATAAAGAAGATGAACGTGATTAAATTGGATACAATTTTATCAAGAGGAGGGAGGTTACATGGGACTCAATTACAATGCCCCTTCCACTGAAAATTCTTGTGTTTCTGTATTCAAAATTATCTGGTGAACTATCTAAAGTTTTTTTATTAATAACACTTCATCTGGAAGTTTTCACCTCGACATAAGGTAAATTCAGTGTCAAATCAAGTAAAAGGATTTTTGCTGAATTTAAAATTGAAATAAAAAATAAACCATTAACATGAATGAAAACTTACTTGGGGATATCGTAGTAATCAGTTGCTGAAAAATAGTAAACACAATCAATTGAAGGAAATGCCAAATTTGAATAAATTTAATAATTAAGCAATTTTTGCACTATGTAAGATTAAAATTTTAAAAAAATTGAATTAAAATGTAAAAATAGAAATAGAATCTACAAGAAATGAAGAAAGAAAAGAACTACAAGAAAGAAAAGAACACCGTAATCCCACTCTGAGAACCAGCTCGGGGTTGAAACTACCTTACTGCAGGAGTGAGATTGACTGCCACAGGAACTCTTCAACTGCCTTCTGTCCAGTAAGCTTTTAAGCTGTGCAACCTTATCTGGTTGTGAGAGGGGACTATACCTCATATTAGGATCATTTTCAGTTCAATATCACAACTTAAGATTTTGAAAATCTCTGTGCTAAGAACTTTACTGATAATCATGCATACTTCATTCATGCATGCTTTGAATGGTTCACTCTGTCTCTGTTATAAATGTATATACCAAATTCCATGCAAATCTGTCCATTGAAAATCGTGCCCACTTAAATTTTCAGTTCTATGCACACTTAAATGAGGAATATAGTAAAAATCACATTTAGATTTTTACTGATATGTATCCTACTTCATAGTATGGCATATACTAGCCACTGTAGTTCCAAAAGTTAATATCTGACTGATAGATTAGTTACTATGTTTTAATTACTTAAAAGGAAGAAAATTTCATATTTATATTTAGAAAATTATCAAAGATATTAATGAATTAAATTACAGATTTTTATGTTATTCTTCCTTCTACTACTGACTGAAATTTATGACTTAAAAGAAAATGTACAGAGAGTAGTTGCAGGAGAAAAAATCATTTGGATTAGTGGTTAAAGATAAGTTTTGCATCATATAGTGAACAGTTTTTATGAAGATTGAATTATACATGTAACGTTATGTTTTATGTTTTATATATCTAATACATACAGTCAAAAGTCGTTAATTCGGACACCCATAATCCGGAATGATCTATAATCCGGACCTCAAAGCTAAAAACTTTCTGCGCATGCGCCGCGTTAACACATGCGCATAGGCGTTTGCGCGTGCGCGTAAGACCATATGCATGTGTGCGCAAGCGCAGAATACGTTTACGCGTGAGCGTTTAATGTATAACGAACGGTATAAGCTAAAACTATCTAATTATCTATTTCAGTTAATGTTGATGATTGCGTTGTTCTTTAATCTTCGAATTGGATGCGGCTTATTATTTTTTGCAGACTGTAAGAGCAATTTTATAAAAGCAAATTTGAACTTTCGATTATGTCAAATAGAATTTCCGATGCTGGAGATCCCAAAGGATCTACAAAACGAAAGTATGTTTCGATGTCCGTCAAACAAAAAGTGGAATTGCTGCAAAAAATGGATAATGACATGAAGAAGGTGACAGAGAGGTTAGTGAAAACGAAAAAATTTCGATTGACAAGTTAGTCGGTATTCTCGGCACAGCAATTACGGGACTTGAACAGCGGAACTTTGTAACTGAACAAGAAATTATGTCTGTTTATAGAATTAAAGAGAAAGTATTATCACATAAAACGAAGCACTAAGCTTTTTTTTTTTTTTTTTTTTTGTAAATTTTGATACCCTTTAGATCATAATTGTTCTTTATTTCATAAATTACGGTTTCATATTTTTAATTTTAGAATTTCTGCATGCCATCTTACGAGATTTAAAGTGATGATCTATAATCCGGAAAAATCGATAATCCGGAATCGCCGAAGTTCCGACGAGTCCGGTTTAACGACTTTTGACTGTATTAATATTTTATGAATTGGAAATTTTATTGTGTGGTGACTGGTAATTTTTTTATATAGGATTCTTCACTCTTATAGTGAAGAATACTGTTTTCATTAAATTCTGTGTCAATTAGAATTGTAATTATATATATAAAAGTCATGATGCATCCATTATTTTTATAGCTGTTAGTTAGGCAACTTTCAAGAATAAAATTCTTTTAAGTGGTGCAAATGGGATTTCGAAATTAAAAATTATTGTAAAAATTATGAAATCTCATGAGAGTTAAATTTTCTGATTTTTTACAAAATTTTGAAATCTTAATAGTAATTAATTTTAACTTTATAATGGTTCTGCGGTCCTTATTGTAGTAAATGCTTATATTAAAAAAAGCTTTAAAAAGTTTGACTCCCTTTTGACAAAAATTAGCCAAAATATATAATTTCAAAATTTGAGATTATCATCTTTTTTTATGCTTTTGTTGAGAGATCAGTTAAAAATAAATTTCTATTACTTCAGTATTATTCACATAGTTTTATTACTTTAGAATCATAATATCATAATTTAAAGAAAAACTTGTTAAATTAGAAATATGTTTTGTTTTGCATATAATGTTAAGTGTTGGCTATGTACCAATAATGAAGCCTACCACTGATTAATAAGCCTGCCATATTATAATATTCTCTGAAAAAGATCTGCTTTTTGAAATATATATATTGATCATTATTTTTCATGACAGTTTGAATAACAATACTCACAACTTAATCTGTAAATATCAGACACCTTATTCAAAATTTATCTTTAATTTTAGGTACATATGAATGCAATTATTTCATTTTGTAATTTTTGTATCTGAACAGGATCTCAAACTGTTAAATTAAATATCTTAGTTACTATATGAGAGTCAGATTCTTTTGTGTTTTATTTTTTAGAATGAGTATATTTTCCTTATTTAAAGTATTTTTCTAATTTGATATAAATGACCAATAATTGCGAAAATAAAGATTGCGAAAGAGCTTTTATGGACACAATGTTTGTAACATTTAACAAAATGAAATCCATAGCCACTTTCTTTGTCTTTTATAAATTTAAACATTTGAAAGAGTGTATGAGTACATGCTATTTTGCATTGGAATATGCTTTTTAAAAAATTATATGAGTAGAAAACATCTTTTTATCTCATTTTCTTCATATCATAATTTTTTAATTTTGTGCATTAACTATATCATTTTTAAGAGTGAAGAGCGTGACTTTGGTACAACTTCTAAATCAGGACCAAGAAGTCGATCAGCTGAACCAGGAATGAATCATAACCAGCAGAAACTGGTATGTAAACCATGCATCCTTTATTTTTATCCTTTTAAGTTATATGAGATGAAGAGTGTAAGAGTTTTAAGCTTATTTTGTGCAAATAATAATTTAACCCTTTCACCGTAAGAGTCTTTTTTTAGAGTTCACAGTTGTTAAAAAATTGTCTCGCAATTTTTAACCCTCTTATAAAAGTTTTCTTTTTAAGATATCCCAGTTTTCTGCAGTACAGTTCTGTTAATTTTTGGTGCTAATCAGTTACAGTTGAGAAAAAATTGCTATATGCTTGTAATTCCTTTGTTTCTTGTTGGTGGAGTCAGCAAAATTTTGGTATACACTGCTTGTCAAAATTAAAGGATCTTGACAGAAATAGAAGTACTACATGTTACTTATTGAAAAATGACTGAAAATAGTTTGCATGGAAACATTATTTAACATAAATTGATATATTTTTCAGTTGATTAATCTCAAAATATTAAAATCATAGTGTATTGGAATTTTAAAAAAGAGGAAAAATGTGTTTCCCCATTTTGCAACAGATCTGTTTTTAATATGGTCATGTCTGACAGAAATGCAAACCTCACATCTTGATTTTGTAGTATTTACCAGAAGTTTTGATTAAGTCTTGTGGAACTGCAGACTACTGCTCTAAAAATTCACTTTTCGGACCATGGAGGGTCAGGAGCGTTCGGTAGCCTGAAGCCAAATTTGGCAGCCTAAGGCATCCCACTCATGCTGAATTGTTTTTAAGTATGGTGAGTGAATTGACCAAATGATTGCTTCCAAGACCTCTGACACCAGATGTGACACAAGCATTTATCATCCATTAGCAAAATACCTGAGTCAGCATCCTTCCTAAACAGCCTTACATGACATGGAATTCCCAGACTTCATCTACATATTTGTGATTGGTTACATAGCCTCCATTAAAGATATACAGCTCACTGAAGCCATTTTTGATGATTCCACTCTAAAGCATGAAATTTGCTTCTGTTAAAATGGGGATGTTGTATGAATAAAGGAAGGTAAGGTTGCATGACCTTCATTCCATCCAGATTGAAACTTGTTTAGACTCACAGTTCAAGCTTTATCTGGCCTTGTCAGCAAACAGTGCATGATCCCATTTCTCCTGCCTCCACTGAACATGGTGATGGACTCGCTTTGGAAATTTCCAAAGACTAAATGGAGCCTGTAGGAAGGTGAAGTTAATAGGCCACAAACCATTGGTTTCTGTCATAAACTTCAAACTTTTGAATCTTTCATGCAAGTTTAGAATGGCTGATTTGAGTTCCTATGCCATTTGGAAGGTTTTAAGCCAACTCTATTGTAATTGCTTTGTGTTTTCTTCAAGCTGACAATAAGAGAATGCAGTCTTCAAATGCAGTTCTTGTTCTTGGTCTGATCTTGAAAAGGCTATATATTAATTGATTCGTTGCTAAAACAGTTCCAAATTCTTGATATGATGCTGAGGAATATTTAAACCTGATATGATGCTTAGGATGGCCTCCATTTCTATTTGCTTGTGCTCAAATCTACCAATTAACTGCTTCTTTTGCCTTTCAATTAAATGATAGCTTTGAATCATAACTAATGAATGCTGATCACTCTTAGAAACCATATTAACTTTAAACGACACTAGACACCCAAACTGCAGCATGCATCCCTTGCACAGCAAGTTGTCAGTTTTCTAATTTGCATATTTGATGAATTAGCTTATATGCAAAAAACCAGTTTTTCATTTAGCTGCATATAAATATACTATTAGACATTAGTTGAAAATTTTAATCAGTGAGTGTATATTTTGAGAATATCCTTTAATTTTGATAAGCAGTGTACATTATCTCATGTCCCTAGAGCACAGCCAATGGAGTAAAAGGAGTTAAATTCTTTAAATTAAGAATAGTAGCTACACATTTTTCTTATGTTCTAATTATGACAAAAGAAATATTTAGCAGTAAATGTAGATCTTGAAACTATGCATTTCTGGTTGTATCTTCTATGCATACAAGTTTTAGCTAGTTTTCTATATGTATTTTTAGTGATTACAGAATGTAAGATTCTTTTGGATTCACAAGTCATTCTTTTAAAAATAAGAATAATTTTTTTTGGCCAGAGGAATGAATTTTTTCCTTTTACATGAAAACAGAGCCTATAAAATCAAAAATGTTGATATTAAATTGATATTTTAGTAGGTATGAATAGAGTTGCAGTGCATTAAAAGCTGAAAAATACCATATTTTTCTTTTATTTTTTTCGTACAAATTATCTTGAAGTTAGAGTAGATGTTCTCTTACCTGGCCTTTGGTTTAACCAGCTGCTAAGCTGAGGAAGTGACTCATATTAGCATCAACTGTGACATTTTTGTCTCTTGTCTCCTGTTTTTTTTTTTTTTTTTGGGGGGGGAGGGTTAAATGTTCTGTTTAATTGGGCAGTGTCCATAATGTTGTAAGATGTTATTGTTTTCCTTGAGCAAAGCATATGGTTATTTATACTGAATGACTGTAATTAAGGTGGTGAAAGAAGTTTTATTGGCAAAAATGAATGAAAACACAGTCTAGCAATGATGCAAGAAAAATTAAATGATTTAGAATGTTTAGGCAAAAGTGAACTAATGAAACATATTTGTGATGAACTTCATACAGTAAAGAATATGGGGAATTCATTCAAGATTTTTTTAGACATATTGAATCAACAATCCAGTGAATGAACTGGTTGATGATGCTTTGTGGTTATGGCATTAGATAGGGCATGGGAATGAATGGTACTTCAGTAATGATCAATTTTGAAAGAGAAGGCATTTATGCCGTAAATGGCTAAGTAGATTGCTGGATCATTAATTACAGCTGATTAGCCTATCGTGGCTCCTTAAATGTGAATTTCTTGCGCCAACAGTGGTGTTAATTACAGTTCAAACTGTTAATTTGATATCTTAAATTATAATATGTGTATAATAATTTAATCCATCATATGCTAATCATCAGGGTAACATGCACAATGAGAAAATTCTGGGTATTGCTCATACGGCCATGTGCTTTTTAGAATAGCTAATCACCATGTGGTCAGCACACACATACGCCAAGGTTTGTATAGTCCTTTAAAGTACTTAAAATTCTTAGGTTTTTCGGAAATGATTTTTGGTCCTTAAAAGTCCTTAATTTTGGCCAAAATTGGTTAAAAAATCCTTAATTTTACTTATTTAACATTTCTGCCCCCCCTTTTTTTTTGACGACTGCCACTTTGAGTGTGAATTATCATTTTGGAGAAATATTTTTTGACATTGCATTGATAAATATGTATTTGATGGGGTTAATGTTTGATTTCTTTCCCACTTCTGAATGTAAATGGTGTGATACTGGGCACAAGACCCTACATCAATTAAAGCATAAACATTTTGAAATAATTTCTTTTAAGCAAATGAGAAGTTCATAAAATATTACATCAAACATAATTTTTCCCTTTTAAGGATATGAGTTCTTTTATTATGGTGCACTAAATTTGGCGACTTATCAATATTTTGGCGATTTCAAGATCAGTTTGTATACAACTGATTTGTATACAAACTGAGATTTGCAAAATGTTTTATAAATATAATAACATTGATAAATATCGTAAAACTTTTTAAAATTTACATAGTTCATTTATGATAATTGGCACTACTTTTCTGATACAGGTTTATTGATGTTTACTGTAACTTCAGTAAGGCAAAGTCTCAGGCTTGATTCAAATAAAGCACTTTCAGTGTGATTTCTCATTTTTGATTTAATTTGCTTCAGAGCAGATATCGCACTATCACACTCATATGTACTGCCAAACAGCGTAACATTTGCAGAGAGAATTTAAGCAGTTTGGGCAAACGTTCTCTAGAAATCAGTTTCCAGAAATTTTAGTTTGGTAGAATTCTGCTTAAAGATCACAAATTTTCATTTGAAGGTTGCAAGGCATCTCATTCACTTCACTCCATGAGCTTGTTTAACAGTGCAAGTTTTGCACAGTTAACAATGTGTTAGGGAGTCAAAATCCTGGAATCTGGAACTCTTTCTGTGCAATTTGCATTACATCAGTTGTTTTGAGGAAGCTCGCCATTTAGTTTTTTGTTTAAAGCATTTAGATAAGCCATTAAGTCTATCAGAAGGACAAGATTATTTAAAAACTGGATTTCATTCATTTTTTTTTAGTACTCATACCCAATGTTTTCTTTTGTGGGATAGGAAGAATTTCATTCCTCAACCCAAAAACTGTTGTAGGCAATTTTCAGCACTTAGCCAGTTCACAGTACAAAGAAATACAGTACCATACTCAGTTTTCAAATTGACCAGGAATGCAATATGTGCTTTGTATCTTTGAGCTTTATTGCCTCCCCTTATTAAATTTACAGTATTTAAACAGTTTTCATTGTCTCACTGAACATTAATTTTTTTCGAACGAGAACCTCCTGGCGGATAAGGCAGTGGAAAAACAAACAATGCATGCCTTTTACTTTATGCACTTCATCTGTTGCAATGTCAGAACTCTTCCCCAAACCTCCATATTTCAAAATTACATTATCCAATGTATTGAATATGTCAGTACTACTGGTGCTTGTTTCCAATGATTTTAATTCTACAGTCCTTCTTGAATTTCAAATTCTTTGTTTATTGTTGTGACAAAGATAAGGATCTAGTTGATGTCAACTATATCTTTGCTCTCGTCTAGAGCTAGAGAGTAAGATCCACACTTTTCCAAAATGCCTTTGAGAATACCCAAAACTTCACTACCCTTTTCATTAGTTCTTCTTCTTACTGTCTGATGTGGCAAGGACACTGTTTCAAAATTTTTAGCTACCTTATTATCTCCAGATGGAGATGCAATTTTTTACAGTACATCTTTTGATGAGCACACCATTCTTAAAAGACTTCTTACTTTTAGCTAGCACTAAACATACCTCATATTGCCTTCAGCAGTGTTTGATGTTGCTGAAAGATATTCTTCTGTCTAGTTAGTTGCAGCTCCAAATCATTATTCCACAACTCCTAGCACTT